GAACTCTTGTAGCATCGGGAGTAATTGTAGCAATGTAGCTGGTAGACCAGCAAAAATTACTACAACTGTTGCGGATGATGCAACAGTTGCACCAATAACACCTACTGCAACAATTGGAATAAATTAAGGATAGTTCGAGATAAAGTTTGAAACACAACCTGAGAGGAGAACGGGGGGGGGAGAGGGTTGGCGAGGTGGAAGGTTTGCTGCAACAAATTTTGTCGCAAGAGCGTTACCTTCTACAGCAGATGCAGTTGCTGTAATTGCGGCAATTGCAACAACTGCAAAAGCTGCATGTACACCACCAGATGTAGAGGTGGGAAAAAACTAAAAATCCTCATGCATGTGGTATAGATGGTGAATTAGGTGCAGGTGCAACCAAACCACCATACTAAAGGTAAACTCTCTTCTTTTATTCTATCTTCACCCTCGTACTTTGTCCTCTTATCAGACCGATTGTCGGCACAATCAGTGCTTAGTGGACGCGTTTGTGTGCTTCCGGTATTTATTTTTAGTCATACGTCTACTTGTTGTTGCTTTCTCCTTTTTTTGTTTTTGTTTTTTTAAATCACCACTACCTTTCTATAATTCTAACGTCAAGTCGCAAAAATAGGGTTTACCATACTCTTTGCTTCACTTGAACGTAGAAGTGGACACTCTGTAGCAGTGTATGCTTCTGCATTAGGTTCAGAGTCCCATAAATATATAAAAATGCATACAAATACAGGGAGCATTGGATCATGCTTCTGCTTTATTTGTCCTTCGCCTGACGATCTTTTAATTATTTTAAGTGTGAGTAAAAAAAAAAAAATAGAAAAACAAATTAAGGGGATTTGTGCGGGGTTGGAAAGTTTGCAGATGCAGGAGGTGCTCTAGCAAATGCATGAGTTTCCACATTTGATCCAACTACTGTAGCTGCAGCGTTTGCAATAGACTCTGCTGAAACTTCAACAACTACAGGTAAGTTGTCGCTGCAACAACTGCAAGTACATTACCGGGCGCAGAGAAAAGGGAGGGGGGGGGGGGGGGGGGGGGGGGGGTACAAAGATATATTCCCTTGCAGGGAGAGAGACCATCTGATTCGGATGAACATGAAAAAAAACACAAGTTACAAAAACAGATTAAGAAAACTAGACAATCTCTCTCTCTCTCTCTCTCTCTCTCTCTCTCTCTCTCTCTCTCTCTCTCTCTCCATAGTATTGACTTACGAGGTTTCGTAACGTAATTGATAGAAGAATATGATAAAAAAATAAAAAAACAAAAGTAGATATCCGATGAGCAAAGTCATGGCTTCGTCCTCAGTTTGATATGTGTTTTTTTTTTAAATAAATTAAAGCTAATAAAGTAGGCAATGTGGTAAAAAAAAAGAAAGTTTTTCGAGAGCCTGTAAATTTCGATCAAAGAGTCAAACAAGAAAGAATACCATATATAAGAGTAAAATGCACACTTCCTACTACTATTGTCAAACAATCAACAACCAAATATTGAAAATGATATATCTTTATATAATATATAGATATATGAACATCCTAGAAAAAAAAGAAGTCTCTCTCTTTCTCTCTCCGTAGTATTAACTTATAAGGTTTTGTAACGTAATTGATACAAGAATAGGATAGCAAAATAAAAACAAGAGTAGATATCCGATGAACAAAGTTATGGCTTCGTGCTCAGTTTGATATGCGTTTTTTTAATAAATAAATTAAAGCTAATAAAGTAGGCAATGTGGTAAAAAAAAAAAAGTTTTTCGAGAGTCTGCAGATTTCAATCAAAAAGTCAAACAAGAAAGAATACCATATATAAGAGTAAAAAACACACTTTCGACTACTATTGTCAAACAATCAACAACTGGATATTGAAAATGATATATCTTTATATAATATATAGATATACGAACATCCTAGAATAAAAAGAAGTGTTTTTTAGTGTTTTTACATATTGAAGGTTCAAAAAAAGTAAAAGGTAGACAACAAATTCTTACTCGAAATATGTATTATAGGCTTAAAATTCTAAGTATCTTATGATTTTTTTTTTCTCTTTTTGTGTTTATATATATACATATGCATATATTTATCTATCTATCTATCTTCCGTGTGTATGTGTGGATGTGTGTGTTCATAAATATAATTTTTAACATTTACATAATTCTCAGATGGAAATGTAGTATACGAAACATATGAAAAAAACATTGTTCTTATGCCATTATAGCAGTAAAGCAGAGATGTATGAAGCAATGTTGCACGATACTTATACATACCATGTTTGCGAGTTTGTCGATTGGTGTGCTTTTAATCATAATGGTGTGTGGGTTCCACAGAGAGAGGGGCTATGGATAATACGAGCATGTAAGATTGATATTGAGGTTTTCAAAAGCAGGAGTACATTACAAGAGTGACAATGAGCGAGAGGCGTTGTGTAAAAGAATAGCAGGCTGCTTCGATGCAGTTGTAGATGTTTACTCCACCATTCGAGCCAACAACATGCAGATGAGAGAAACTTCGACCTTCCTTGCTCAAATAGTGCAATCTTCTAACATAACTGCAGTTTAAGTTTCTGAATCAAGCACGAAAAACGAACTGAAGTGTTATACGTCGAAGTCGGTCATCAGTTGGCTATACAACGAGCATGGGGAAAGTGTCGATAGAGAGCAAATGAGGATCAGACAAACATATGCAGATACAACATATAAGACGAAGGTCGCTTGTCCCTAGAGCAAAAATGAGGCTTCCAAGTATGAAAGGTGTTCTGAAACCGGGTGCAGCGAAGGTATTGTGTTTGTCACTGATGAAAATAAAAGTCGTTGCACCTCAAAGAATTTTTGACCTTCTTGTCTTTGTGGTCAACGGATCCGAATACTTATTATTGGATCATCTTTTGATGATTAGAAAAATATCAAAAGGAGAAAAAAAAAATATTTCGAAAGTCCTAACTCCCATAATAGATGATGTCATTGCCGGAGGAGACTTTGTCGAGTACCCCGATACTGTTCAAAGCAACAACATAACCGGGAGATCAAACGATATTGCTGCATTTGATTCTGCACTCATGCACCTGTCCTTTGTGCAACACAAGTGAATAAGCAAAGAAAATGAAAAGAATGTTTGGATCTACTGGATTGCAGAATGTGTCCAGCAAAGATTTGACGACCTTGACGACAAACAACCTCAATAAACACCCTCTTTCCAAACAAAAAGTCGCCGAAAGCGGGTTCATCTTTATTGAGGATCGGAAAAGACCATTGTAGGTCTCAATTCATCATTGCTCATTGGGCAATGCAATCGATTCCATCAAGTGTCCCTCAAGCTTGTCTTAACGGCGAAGACGTACTTGAACAGTGCAATATACAAGGTATTGATAACGATCATGCAGCCTCAAATGAGAATGTAGATGAGGACAATTGTCTCAACAATGTCGTCAATTCCAATCGTGAAAATGATGAGATTAACAATGATGAAGAGATTAATAACGATGAAGATGATTATGAAGATGGTGGCGATGCTGGTAACGATGTTGGTGATGATGATGATAATGATGACGATGAAGATGATGACGATGATGACGATGACGATGATGATGATGATGACGACACAAATGAGGGCAACGGTGGTGATGAGAAAAAAAGGAGATCGTTGAAGAAAGGTGAAAAAAAGGACAAGGGTTGGTGCAAACAAATTTTACAATTGGCACGTGAGTTTGAATACCCGCACGTCGCCTTGCGTGTGCTGCATAGGGATGCAACGCCAAGTGGGTATTTCCAGCAGGTAGCAATTTCTGCTATGTCTTCAAGTTGCAAATATGAGAAACAATTTCATGGTGCTGGGAAGTCTTGGTTCGTGTTTGTGAACAGTGAAGCAGCCATCGCAATGCTGTCACGATGGAGTGACGATATTGGTTGTTTAGCGCAAGGTGCAGTGACACAAGCTTTGGGTGTTCGTTTACACCTAAAACTATCAACTGCAATTGATATCGTGTCCGCTGTATCTCACAAGGGAGGAGTGAAATTTCTTCCATAAGTACATCCAAAACCGTAGTAGGAGGAGGATTACAAAACCAGTCAGATACAACAAGATACGTTTGGATAAACTGCAGTTAAAAATAACTTTGCTAATTAGAAGCTATAACATGAAAGAAGTGTAATTACGAACTGCTTATTGTATATAGTTAGGAAGTTCGCAAGAAAACTCGCCATAAGGTCGCTTGTTTCTTGACATAATAATGACAAATGACAAAGGTCTCTCTCTCTCTCTCTCCCTCTCTCTCTCTCTCTCTCTCTCTCTCTCTCTCTCTCTCTCTCTCTCTCTCTCTCTCACACACACACACACACACACACACACACACACACACACATACACACATGTACACACATACGCAATGCTTGAGCTTTGATGAAACGACCAGTACATAGACCCAGCCAACATGAGAATTGGATCGAGTATGTCCTCAAATTTTTTAGGCTTGGTACAAGGCTTCCAAAGAGCTAGTAGAAAAAACAATTGTCTTATGTCGTGGGGTGGCACTGGGCTTAACCCTCAACCAAAAAAATACTTCTCCAGCCACCACGCGGGCCATGTCCAAAGTCCGTTAACTTTTAGGAGAGACTATTTTGAACTCTCCAGATGTACCAGTGGTTTAGGCCCCCCAGGCGTAATCTATAGAAACGAGGACGAAAAAAAAAATAAATTGTATGTAGTTTTTTATGTTTTAGAATGATAAAAATATTAAATTAAAAAAAAAAAAAAACAGCTGCGTAGTACTTTGGACAAAAATTGCAATGTATGGACACATATTGCCACCTACCATTCCATCACATATGCAATTTGTTTTTTGCCCATCTCATATGCAAAACTTTCACTTTGATTATCGAATCCGTTTTGTAAATTTTAAAGCAAGAACAAAAAATGACATTCTAGTGCATCTGTTTTTTTAACATTATCCACCAATGTTACTTACTTGAACATTCGGGGGGGGGGTATTGTACTGCCCCCCTCCGAAAGTTTGGGAATTCAGGCCAGGGTTCGAACCCCGAACCGTAGAGCCCCACCAGCGGTTCGGGCCCTTTGCACATTTCTAATAGGTTTAATGAACAGTACACCTAAACCATCTACCTTCAAATTTTTGCTTGATTTTGTTGGGTAGAAAAAAAACTAAAACTCGTAGTAGGGGGATAAAAATTTTCGGAATATGCTCCCATTTCGCCTTTTTTTTTTACTTTTTTTTTTTACATATTCATTTGTTGATTGATTGACTGATTCATTCATTGGTTGGCGAACCCCCCTATGCGCCTCCCCTACAACCAAGCAACCAATCAATCAATGGTTCAAAATGATTTTTTTTTCCCTCTTAATTGATTGATTGATTGTTGTCATGGGGTTCGCCCCCCACCCCGCCCCCTCGACATAAAATATCTCTCTCTCCCTCTCTCTCTCTCTCTGTATATATATATATACATATATATATCACACACACACACACACACACACACACACACACACACACACACACACACACACACACACACACACACGCGCACACACACACACACATGAACACACACATCTACGCACGCCTCATAAACAATTTCTTTTTTTTTATATACTTTTTTTCCTTGTTGATTGATTGATTGATTGATTGATTGATTGATTGCGGGCGCACACATACACACACACCTAGAATGTCGGCAAAGCACATTGTTTTTTTTTTTGAACTTTTTTTTTTCCGTTGTTTGGTTGATTGATTGCGGTGGGGTCGCCTCCCCGCCCACCCACACACAAACACACACACACACACACACACCTACGCGCGCCTCATTAACTCATTTCTTTTGGGAACTTTTTTCGTTGATTGGTTGATTGATTGAT